AATGCTCCACTGTAAGCGTCCTGAGCACAGGAAAAGATTATATCCTCGAATAAAACTCATATGCACCAATAATTGTTATTATTTATGATGTGTAATAAACCACCATCTAGTTGGCCAACACTAAATAATGAAACGAAATTATTGAATACATATCAGAGATTCAAGTAAGTAAGAAGGAAACATTTTTCCACTGTTTAGAATTATTACTTAATGTAACAAAGTAGACTTGAACAGTTCTATGAATTTCTCTAAATAAAAAGATGTTGATATTCAAACCGCGTAACAAAAATCTACTGAAAACTAGCCTCTGCAATATTATGCTTTAGACACACCATATGAGCCAATAAAATAAGTTCTATTTGGTCAACATTTTACACATAAACTGTGTATTAGTGAAATGATCATTTTTACGCTTGGTTAAAAACCCTTAGTCATAAAGGAATTTCTGTTAATATCGGGACTCTAGAAGTATATGTCGTGAAATCTTCTTATACAGAATATGGAAAATTCTGTTAGCTATTCAATAAAATTTATCTACGATTATAAAAGGCCTAAGCCACTAAGTCTACAAATTACAAAAGCAATCTTTAACAGATCTTAGGGATATTATTTTACTTATTTCTCAGTTGTGTCAATTCAATATATTAAACAGAAATTGAGGAAGTGAGTATGAGTAGTTCAGCTGTTATTTCTCCGATGTTCTTATTGATTTCAGTGAGAAATTAGGAACGAAGTGAAATAATTTTAAAAAACTGCTGGAATCCAAAGAGAATTAGGCGTAACTTGGGAAACTTCAGATTAGGGTTTACCATCCAATATCTTGCCGGAAGATCTAGTGATCGGGAAATTGATCTTGGAAAATGTTTCGAGTAAGTGTTGTTGAATGAACTCAAATTAGGTCCGAAAATGTGTGCTTCATCCTCACTGGCTTTTACTAGTTCTTTGGACGGTTTCCGTTATTGACCTAATCAACTCGGCATACAAAAAGTGTCCCCTTAAACAATAGTAATTTCTTTATTTAATATCATGCTACTTGTAAGTAATGTTGTTGAATCGCTCAGAACCTGAATATTATCCTGTTTGTATGTCTTGTCACATTTAAACCTTATTTTACTGAAGATATGAATGATTTCCTTCCGTCATTCAGTGTAAATCAACTGAGTGAAATTAGGATGTTTCAGTATTTTGTTCGGAAAAACTAACTTACACATATGAATTATTGACAAATTTAGATATCCCAGTTGAGAATTTCGCTGAGAATCAATGTGTACCGCATGAAATTCATTTTAATGTCCACTTGTCAGTCTTCCTAGTTACTTGTGATATCTTGGAAAAAGCAAATGAATTGGTTTAAAGAAAGGATGACAGTTTATTCAATGAAATATGAATTCTTAATAAGCCATCTGGTTGACATCTAGCAGTGTCCTTGACAGTCGACTCAGATGCATGTCAGTTCAGATAGCTACTCTGATGGATCATGTGTAGAGCTGAAATAATAACTCACACTTATTCTTTACATCTGGAAGATCTAATTCCCTTTCGGCGCTAGGCTATCACATGATAGATTCATCAGGGCGACAGTTGTCTATAAGAATCTTCTTATTAGTTCTCAAACCATTGGTAATTTCGGCCTGATAAGATGTTTCTGCGCGTCTAAAATAAGAAGTTTGCAGTTAATTCTTTGATTTCACAGCTTTTTGCACCATTCTCCAGTATTAACCAAACGCTCTGAGCATCCATCTCCTCCCAATTATGAAAAAGCGAGAACGACTCTTGAGTCTCGTTCCAAGCACATATCTATCTCAAAACTATACTGAATTCTTAACACCCATACCTTACAACTCCTTCGAGTTCATAATACAGAATAATCATAACTTTGTGGCACTTACGAGTAATAGTTTCCCATAGCCTAGGTGATTGACTCCTACGGATACAAGTTGTGACTGGAACACTGAAAAACTCATCCGGCTGCCAGAAACCATTAAGAACCGGGATTTTATCCACTCGGGAGGTTGATGAATAATCGGTTGTGTTGGAATGTGTTGTTTTTTTCTTTACTTAGTTCTTGGCACAAAGTAATCACTATTGTTAGGATGGTATAACGGTTATGAATCTTCACCTAAAATTTAGTATGATCAAATTATCAAAGAAGCGAAATGGACCTACGCTATCCTGCTTCTGTGTTTATTCCTGTTCCTTACAAGCTGATTTTTTTGTCTAGTAAACTGGTTATTACTTATTTTACCTGTAATTGGTAAGATAAAGGTCAATCAACCACGAAACGAGCAAAAAAAGACAAAATGAATACAACAAAAGGCAGATCGTCAATCATTTAAGCACTCGAGAGGTTTTCAAATGTCCACTTCTGTTAATCTTTTGCTGAAGATTAGTAGTTTAGACAAAATATGATCATTCCTCATCACTGAAATGCACACCTGCACACATGTGCTATTGATTTTAACAATATCAATGTATCACTAAGTCTAGACAAGGTGTTATTAATTCATCGAGTAATTTAACAGTGGAGAGGCGTTTACAATTGTATTCACACTCATGTTTACAGGAACTACTGTTTCTACATAGGAAGTCAATGGTTGCTATGAGGCTTAACAGCCAATACTAAATAACTGCAGAATGCTAATTAACGTCTGACAACTTAGACACAAATTTTGTCTCCAGGTGAGTTAACTGAACATGTTCTACACATGTGAGCTAGCGAATTAACTACCAGGCGAGTATTTATAATAGAAATGATCGATGGAAAATTACGAAATGATCTTTGTTCCATTGTTCCATTGATTGATTTGATGGATTTCTTATCTCTTACTCCCACATGTTCTTTCCTAATTCAGAATGGTACTTACTAGTCGGTGTATGAGCAATGGCTTCTAAATTCACTGCTCGAATTCTGCTCTTCCATTGCTAAATGCCATGTTCGTTGAGGAATACAGGCTTATGAAAAAAAAATGGAACCAACTGACCCTTTGTACTCACAATGCAAACAACGCGTGCTGCTTGTTAGTGTGGGTAACTGAAGAGTACTTATTCAGGATTATTTGAAGTCATCAAGAGGACAAAGATTTCTTAATCCATGGTAAGTGAAATCCCATGGGATTTCTCTTCTTTTAACCCTATAAATAAATGAATATAACTGTGAAATTATGTCAGAGTTTCATCTAACTAATGAAGCGTTTATATATATTTTTTTCTGTTTCACTTTGATTACATAAACTGTGGATTTATTCCGTTCAGTTAACCGCCTAGAATGAATTCACTCAATTTCTTCTATTTCTGACACATGAAAATAAAAGTGAACGGAAAAATCTCAGATCCCTTATTAGAGCAAAGGATGGTAGGGTATTTCGAAAAAGTACGACATACATGCAGAATCTTACGCGTTCGAGAGGTTTAACATATGACTAGTTAATCGATCAGTCGTTATTTGGAGGGGGTGTATAATTCATATGAAACAAGAGCACAAAGAAGTGAAAGTGAGAAGTAATTCATCTGAAACGTGTTATGTATTCACTCAACACATTTCAAGCATTCTGACCACATACGTACTGGTCACATATTTTTGTATGAAAGGTAACAGAGTATAAAGGGTCAACATTTATTCAAGATCGCAGATAAGAAGTAGGAAGATGAGGTAAGAAAAACGGGAGATAAAATATTACCAATTACGACATACGCTGGTTTTAAAGTAGGATTACCAAGGCAGGTTCAGGGTGATGAATAACTTCTGAACACAAAAAACAGGTTGAAATCTTGTTACGGATAAGACTGGGTAAAACACATCTGAATACAAGTTTCACAGGTTTGTAAGTGTGTGACTTTATCCTTAGGTGAGTTTGCCTGTCACACTTACGAAAAGACTAACTTCTTTTGCCTAGTTCTTAATAAGTACTCTGCCTATCCTGCAAGTACTGAGGTACGAGTGAAAAACAGAAATCAGAAGGATTTGCAACGTGCCGGTAACGACAAGTATATTTATAACGAATGTGATTAGAATTTAATAATATAAAAAGGTTTACAACTTATCTGTACCCAAAGGAGTAGCGAGCTCGAAGAGTGTGCTTGTAGAAAAGCACAGCGAGGGAGCAAACATGCAAGCACCAGAACGTACAGGAAGCGAAGTGCAGTGAAGTGAAGTGAAGTGCAGCGAAGCGAAGCGGAGTGGCGCCAAAAAGATGGGTGAGCGAGTTGAACCAAAAGTTCAAAGGTCCAATGTACAATACAGGTTTGAATGCATGTTATTTTGGAATTCATCAACAGTCAACAAAGATTGAGGACTGATTTAAAGTTAAATAGTTCACGTAGCTCTTTCCTTTCAGGTTTCAACTTTCATACACATTTAAGCTTACTACTGTCATGCTTCGAGGGAAAATCACTGCCATTAAAGCAATTGAAATCCAGTCACAATTACTCGTTAGAAGTCCAACTAGTCTCAATATACACCACTCAAACGACTTCCTTGTGTGTGCGACCAAGTTCTCACCAAGAATCAGATAACTTAGTGTTGTCTCTTGACTGCATTCCATTGAGCTTATTCAGTTTCTGATGATTGCATCTCAGGTGAAGTCCGTACGTACACAGGTTGAAATGGAGAAATGATAGCACTTCTGTTGCCAGTCGCCTCTTGATCTGACCAGGCTTTCTAACCCAATACTACATAAGCGGCTGACATTAAGGGTCCAGTCATGTTGTGCAGCCAGTCAGTCAAGCAACGTCAACATGTGTCACTCTATCACACTGCACTGGGCCGTTGTTCATGCACAATCCCGAACTAGCTAATCAAGCAAACCGGTCTTATCAACATCGATTCCGGTGAAACTAGGCAGGCTTTTCTCACTTAACTCAACGTATTCTAACTAAGCCACTCAGTTTGTTGATTGTTTTCGCTTCACTTACGGATTCCATTCATGTGAATAAACCTAATCGAATTGCGCCTCTACATGAAACTTGCACAACAATGAATATCAACTGTGGTGATAACTTACCTTAAGTAATTGCTTAAATCCTTTTCAAAGTGAGACGAAAACTCGTCAAGATTATTACTCACTGAAAGGGAATGTGTGCATGCCTCCATTTCCGATTGACCAGCTTGTTCTGTTTTAACACGATAATTAATGTACAATTTTTCAGTAACATCTGTATTCACTTTGTCCAACTGTTCCATATTGAATTGAGTGAACATGTCACTGATTCCACTGATATCACCATCATTTAGTTTAGCATGAAAGTTAACTATCCTGATCTATAGAGAAAATATGATGATAAGTGTAAGCAAGTTGTCTTTTCAATATGTACAATGAAAGGAGATCTGTTACTCTTGTTTCAAAGTGAAGGCGAGCATACTTTGCTTCACAAAACACAGACTTACACACACACACACACACAATTCACAATAAGTCAACTCCTAGTAACATGAAAGAGGATAAACGTGTCACTTTGAACGGGACAATCCCTACTGTTGCATGTCGAAGAGAATTATATTCAGAAATTGATTAGTAACAATAAGTGGCCTCCGTTTACCCAACCTCATAGTCCTATGGTGTGAATGATGATGGTCACACTTAACTGTATTAACCTGTATCAACTCCGTTCACACCTTCTTTGAAATGTGCACCTGTCACAATAGAATACCATGAGAGAACAACATCATGTTCACTGAAATTATTATTATTGTTTCCCTTAGTTCCTAGAGGAACATAGGGCTTCAGCCACACGTCTCCATTGCGTTCGGTTGTCTGGCAATCAATCAAATCCCTACAAACCAATAGCTGAAATTCGGTTCATCTTGATTGACTTAAAATGTTCATAAGAATTCGAATTTATGTGAACAGCAATGCCAGTATCCAATACCCCGTTTAAGTCACAAATCCCGTTCAGTCCTGAGCATCAGATAGCTACACTATTCACCACCTTGTCACATATTTTCGTGTACACCGAATTTGAAGTAAAGTGAATCTGGAGATTTCTTTGTGAATACTGTTTTGAAGTACTTTCCTAGTTCCCACACTCCAACCTGACTTATCGATCTCTGATCTGAAAATAATATGTAGTCAAATAAGTATTATTAATTTGTACATTCTCAAATATATTTGCATCTATCCTCCTTTCCTTTCATCAGAGGATATTCACCAATAAACCTCTGTCCGATTTTGGAAATTCTTTGAAAACGTAATCCCCCCACAAGCTGTGTTATTTAGTCAGCTTTTGCTGTCATTTGTGAAGTGAAGATTAGACTGGGAACCGTTATTTGAGAGGCTTCATATATTCTGATCATAACGTGATATCTTCATTGTATACGGTAGCTGACTTACTAATGCCATCATGAATACAACGAGTAGACTACTGAAGACACTTATTGCGAGTTGGATGTCGTCAACTGAATGGAGCATTTTATCCCTATGCGTCGTTTATCAGTTACTTCAGTGAATTCCAACACAAAAAACACCATGATTCGGCACCTGAAATAAATACACATATCTGTAGTAGATCAAGCTTTTGAAAAATGAGAATTTTAATGAAAATGTGTGCATAAAAGCGTAACTGTTTAACAATGAAAAACATTTTGGTTTCTATACTTGGTTTTGTAATGACACATGAATTTGCAATCATACTGATATCAGTTCGCTCCGCCTCCGCTTGTTTAACATCTCTACACACTGATATGAAATCCCACGTGGTACAAATTGTGTGCCAAATGAATTCTATAGATATGAGCCAAAACGCATTGCTTGTTTATCGAGTAAAAAATGCACGGAGGAGGACATATTTACTGGTTAGTGTACCCACTCAAACTGTTAATGTCTGTTAGACACTGTTGTAGATAAACAGCTATTCAAATATATTCTAACATCGATGAGTTTCCAGCCAGAAGATTGATGCAATCAGATAAAAAGTTTAAGCGGTTGTCTTTCATTAATATTAATTCACTGTACAAGTGATTTTGTAAATGTTAGTCGCTTATTTTGTCACCTAAGGCCAAGGCATCATTCAGTGACACGTATGTATTATCAGACTTCGTTACACTGAAATTGGAAAAATACACGAAGTTGTTTACAAGCAGGGATTCTGAGTGTGGTGACAGGTAGATTATTTAAATCTGCTCCAATTTTCTTAGTATGCAGGGGAATCAATGTATGTACACTATGATGAAGATTTGTACCACAATCCAAAGTATTTTCACCATCCCAGACTTCCTGTTTTATAAGATTCTGTGTAAATTATGAGATATCCCAAATAGGGTGTAGTGCTGATAACTACATACTGGCGAGAAACTCAACATGATTATGAGCGAAAACAACAGGTACACACAATTAGCATCATTATTTCTACCAATAGTAGCAGTAGTAGTGATGGTGTGAGTAGTTATCATGACAATGCTTTTGTAACCATGTTTTCAGTGTTGCGACCTTAAGGAAACACGGTAGACACCAAATGATAACAATGAATAAGGCTGGTGATCAGGATATATCAACACGCAAGTTATTTGATATTTTCTATGAAAGATATAACCTGTGTGTGTGTGTAAAACATCAAAAGCATGGTAACAAAAAATAAATGCAACTAAAGAACCTTGTCAGTTAACTGAATGCCTGAGAAAAAAGTATAACGGACAAAAACAACAAATAAACTAATTCTGACAGTATAAATGAATGAGAATCTAGTCCACTAAGAAAAGGTGGAGGCATTCAGATATAACACAGAAACTGACTGCAATTCATAACCAACTTAGTTCTGTTCTATTTGCTGAGACACAGCAACACGAACAGATAAATCAGTAAATGAAAAAATTAATGATGATAAAAAAAATAATAAACGTCTGAAGAAAATAATGTTCCGGCTAAACGCTGAATTTCTGTACAGTTCGTGATCTCCAATAATAGGTAACCTGATTATTAAATGCGACAGGAGCTCTGAATATCTCAATTGTTTAAACAGTTACTGCAGTGACTACAAAATCCTCCTCGTTAGTCTGAAAAAGACAGTCATTTGCTTGCTGAAAACCTAAAGGAAGTCAACTCTCCAACTATTTAGCATGAAATGGGTCATGTATTTGTGTCAGAATTTCACCAGTAAAATATGCATTTGGCATATCTTCATCGATTACATTTGAAATAGTATGGAAATGATATGTTTCTTCTAACGTCTCTCTCTCTCTCTCTGTCTCCTTCTGATTACGTTCCGGTTAATACTAACTTGTGTGAGTTGAAAATAAGCTGATTCGTTTGAATACGTTCTTAGAGTTATTCTACTTGGTTACTGCAACAGCTAGAAGGCGGTTGATGAAATTTCTTCTGTAATGGATGACCTTTTAAGTTCCAACTACTTTGTAGTGAAGCAGCTAACAGTATGAGTCATTTTCCTAAGAAAGAGAGAAAGTTCCACATGTTCACATTTTATCTGTCAGATGTTCAGCGTTCACCGTCAACTGACAAATTATAGAGGTGAAAAGGTCTAATTTTCACTAGTGTAAAACATTTTTCAATTCTTCACTAAATGTTGTTAGTTTCTTTTGAATACACTGAACATACATTACACGGACATATCAGTTAACGATGGCAACTTGAATGTACTGGAAGGGTTTAAAGTAAACATGTCATTGTGTTTGCATGTATGTCAGACTATTTTATTTGACATTTTCATAAAGAAAACTTTCTACTTTTTTTTCCACATTTGAAGGGGAATTCTGTACATATACATACGCTCTAATCGAGTATAGGATAAACCTATAACTTTTGAAACATCAAAAAATTTGACACACTTAAAAGATCCGTAGATATTAGAACAAGACATACAGGCGAACAATATTGTTTTCAATTAGATCTTCTTCAGGCTTTACACTAATTTACATAGATTTATATATAAAATTTTAACCAATGACGGTGATTTTGGGAATCAAATAATAATCTTAATAATAATTTATAAAATTATATTTGTATATTCTTTGAATAAATCTTAGAAAAGCTTCATAACATGAGACATTAGTTGCTATTGCACTATACCATTGAACTTTAGCAGTAAGGAAACAGAGACCATTTCATTTTAACCCAATAATAAGAATAAAATAATAATAAAGTAAATGTTCTATTTTGGCTCATTTGATTGATAGCGCTCACCGAGTGGACAAAAATAGTGCTTTCAAAGTTATCTATCGTATTCCATCGAGTCTTTCGAATGGAATCAGAACCCGTCTTTTACACCTAGCCGAAGCTATGGCAATTCGAGAGAACAATCCTAGTCTTTGCATACAAAAGAAGTTTGTTCTACCTTTGTCTCTCCCTTGGCCTAGGTGAATTGTATTCAAAACCCTCCCACCCTTTCTTATTTTCCACCTCCTTCGTACTCTTATAATATTTATTTAAACTCTGATTATCGTTCCACTTCACCTTTTAAGATTTGACCCAATTTATTCATACACTTATACACATATACTATCTTTGTTATTCTTATCACCTGCATAAACCTTATTATCAATATTTTGTTATCATTATAATTATCGTTATTAACTACGTTCAAAACATTTACCAAATTTTTATTTTTATTATTAATATTATTTGATTCCCAAAATCACCGTCATTGGTTAAAATTTTATATATAAATCTATGTAAATTAGAGTAAAGCCTGAAGAAGATCTAAGTGAAAACAATATTGTTCGCTTATATGTCTTGTTCTAATATTATAAATGGGAATATTTAAAGATTTGAGATCCGTAGATAGTTATTTCTAAACTCTTGTTATGTTCATAGCATTAAACTGCTATCTGTTATGTAATCATGATTAACATGCTCTATATGTTTTGAAGTTATCAAATATAGTGAATGATAGTGTTAGATGCACAACGATAACAGTACAAGGCATAGTTTGATATCCATTAGGTGTTTTTTTTATTAGGACAGTGTTTCTACCTTCAGCTGGGACAGAAGATTAAAAAACACAGAAAACACACGGAATAAATTAGCTATCACCTTTAGCTATCACCTTGTTATGTAATGTTTTCTTTGTTTGTTAATCATACAATATAATTATAAATGAAGGCCATTTAGCCTAGACATTGGATAACAGTGACGTCTTAATGTGACAATTTATCCACAAAATTTTAAACTATTACGTATGTAAAAGACGTAAAGAACACAGAATGAAATTAGTTCACTCAATCAGGATGTTTATTATTACTTTAGAAAAAGTTAACAACTAAACTAACTACATGAACTAGCCAATTATTAACTTAAAGTGGTTCTCAAAAGTGGCACTAAAGCCGAAAATATCACAAACAAACCACTGAAAACATAAACGATTTATTGAAAAATTTATGTTTTATGATTATCAGTCAACTACCAAAACAACTTTGATGATATGCACTTAACGCCAGTGTTGACCGGAATTAATCTTGTAGGAAATGAGAATCTTGTGTGTAGGAATCACATAAATAAATCCCACAAATGTTTGGATCGGTGCTTTTCATCACTTCTCATCACCAAAATAACTAACTGTCCAACATTTTTGTTCATCTGTTCATACGTCAAGCCTCCTGTTGATTTTTATCACATTCAAGCGTAATAACTGCTTGAATAGATGCTTTATTATTCATGTCTTTTATCTGGCGTTCCATGGCAATGGGGTCGTGAAAGTGCATTTCATCCTGAATAGAAAATATCAGGCGGATAATTTTAAAGCCTAGTGAGTAACGATGGTTCAACTAAAATTCAGCTCCACCACACGCAGTTTCGAACACCAAAGCATTGTCAATGGGCTGTCAGTAGATTCCAATTGGCAGTTCTAAGTAGAACGGAAAGTTAATCCTGAATTTAAATGTTGTCAGTCACCAAGTAGATAACACTTGGCATTTCAAAGCATATCTGCTTTAAATTTAACCACGATTAGTTAACGTGAAATTAAGATGGAATATCGTTTATCTGTAATTTACAATCACAATCTGTGACAGTGATCAGTTTTAGTAGATGATGGAGGTAACCGCAGTTAATTTATACCATTAAGTTTTATCTTGTCTCGTCATTAGCAGACATTTACTTCAGTTCGGCAATAATGGTATTATTTATGAGAGGTATTCATTGAACAAATGCTGTTAGTCTCAGAAGACTTTAAGCTTAGAGACCAGTCAGACTCTGGAGACTGTGAAATTTTACTCTAAAGTATTAAAAGAAAATTAAATCAATATGTGACCTGTACTATCTTGAAACTGACATCATTATTAGTGATCTCGTGTATTTACACATTTTTTCTTCGTCATATATTTTCTAGTGTATATCTAGCCAAAAAGTACGTGCACAAAAATGTGACTTGTACTTTTAAATGTTGGATACCTCGAAATGGAATCAAACTTGGTGCACATTAATTTATTGTTAACCTACATACTCCATGTACTTTTTTGTGGCTGTTGAAACCTATCTGTCATGTGACCAGATTCCGTTCTTTATTCGTCTACAAAATTAGTTACTGTGTTACCTAAAATAACCTAGTCAATAGAATGTGCTTCAATTTATCAAAATCCAAGTAAATCAGAACGATTTTGAACATTCT